AACCCAAAAAAAAACACCAAAAAAACCCCACCCAACCCCACTCTATTCCTTTAATATGAACTATCAGTACTACCACTGAACAGAACTCACCGACTCTGCATCTTTGCTTTTCATTCGTTGTTGTTCCATAAACAGCGCATGGGCAGGGACATCCTTTGCGCACCCGGCGCTCTGTGATCTATTGAGGGGGCGTGACAACATCTTTCGGAAACGCCTCTTTTTCCCCGCATCTTTCCCAGCGGCGCAGGCAGAGCCGTTTGTGTTATAGTCTTTGCTACTGTCGTGCACCCTCCTCTCCGCACTACCTCCCTCTCCGTCTGACCCCTCGGGGCTTGAACTGCAGGTGAAGGTCACAGAGCCGGCGGATGTGACATCACGAGCCTCACTTTCGTTTTGTCCGTCTGCTGCTGCAGCTGCTCCATGCAGACGCGTCGATGGCGGTGACGGTGACGTCACATCCTCTCTAGATTTCTGCGTGGCCGACTTTTTGGCGTTCGCGTGTGAGGATCGGACGAGTTTCTTGTTCTTGATTAGCCTCAGCCCACTGAGACCACTGATGAGTCCTCCGCCGCCGCTGCCACTTTTACCGCTGGCAGAGCCTCCATCTTTACTGCTGTCTGTCGAGAAGATCTTCCCGAAACTGCCGCCCTTCTCAAAGGTCGGGGAGGCGAGCTCCCCCAGCGTCACGCTCGTGTCCGTCTCCGATCTGGCCAGAGGGGCTCGAACCCTATCCCTGTCCTTCAGCTCTCTGCAGAGGTCGAGGCTGCATTTCCTGGGTGAGTCCAGCTGGGGCTGGTGTTGGTGGGACGATGACCCAATTTTGGTGACCTGGTGCTGGGGGTTGGACAGCTGTCGCACGAAGGCGTCCAGGTCCTCGTCTGTCCACTGGCTCTTGACCGGGCTGGTCACTGTGCCGGACCATCTGTCCGTGGCGGGGGATGTTGGCTCCTCCAGGTGAACGCCCTGAAAAAGGAAGACGCAAAAGAAAGGTTAAACTAAAGGATGAATTGATAATATTGGTTTAACGACCATATCAAAACTACTATTAGGTTACTCAAAAGGCGGGACCTTCGAAAGGACCGAGCCTAAAGGGAAAATCGTGTAAAGTGCTATTGCCAAGAATACAACGACGCAAAGAAGGATAGAAATAAATCATTGTTGTTTCAGGGTTTTTTTGTCCGCTCATTGATACTACACCAACTGTCAATTAGCGCTGGGAAAGAGGAGTTCATTGGGTTTTTTTAAAGCAGGTGATTGTAAGGCCTTGATCGACATAATGTAGGTCATTTAGAAGACAGGATTCTGCCTTGCCCGTCAGGGCCAACCCAGTCTGAGAGGAACACAACGGCACAAAAGAAAGACCGATAGATACTCGATAAACCACCACCACCACCATTGTCACAATCATCATCATCATCATCATCATCATCATCATCATCATCATCATCATCATCATCATTTTTTGGTAAGCAGGGTAGGAGGGAGAGTCTTGTTTTAAATTTAGACAAAAAATAAAATAACAATATAAAATGTTTAAATTTGTTTAATAGCTCAACGTTTCGCCCTGTGGGCTTCCTCAGGAGCAACTGAGAGAAAAACTAAACGAGCGCTGTATATTAGCAGGAAAATGGGTCTAACAAAGGGGGTCTTATCATCATCATCATCATCATCATCATCATCATCATCATCATCATCATCATCAT